CCATTCTTTTTCTCTTCCCTGTGTTATATTCCTCTTGTTCTCTACTTCTTAATTTCAACCCTAACTCATTTCATTTGCTATTCCTGGACGACTTATGTTTCTGCGACATCAAGCATCATCCTTCCTGTCTTTCTAATTGTTATTTTCTCAGTTCTAGTCATTCTGCATCCCCTTTTACAATTGTTACATTTGGGATTGCTCCCTTGCCTGTTGAGGGGCAGCAGACTATTGGCATTGGTTTTGCCTTCCAGTACCCAATACTCCTTTATTTGCTTGATCCATTTTTATTTACACTTCTTTACCTCTCCTCTTTCTCCCTCAAGTCTGAGGCATTCCACCTTGCCCCATAGTATTTTGCAGGTGATTCGCATTTCCATCACAACTCCACTTTGGCCGTTCCACTTACAAATTCCCTACTCACTTGACTCTTTGTTATTGGGGATCTTCTATGAGTTTTTTGCTTGAAGTTTGATGTTTCTGATTGGAGCGAATCATGGGCTGCGGCTGCATGTAATTTGTCCTCTTTTCATACTTTGTTTCCACACTGTTCCCAACCCTACTCTTCATCATTGTACCTTGTTTTAGTCCCCATTTCCCTGTCTTTTGATTCCCAACTTTCTCTTCTTCCCAATGTTAGACTCATTGAGCTCGTCAGTTATGTTTCCATTGTGTTGATTCTCATGAGTACCCAGCTATCACCATTTGAGCTCCTGTGGTCACACTTTTCCATCCACACAGAGGTTTTTCTACTTTTTACCCATGGATTTTGTCTCCAATTCCATTTCCCTCCTCCTTTCTGTCCTTATCTTGTTTTCTTCCTGTTTCCACTCCCATCTATGCCCAACATCTTCAAGTCTGTATTTATCAACACTTCCAACAATTTCTCTATCCCAATCAATATGTTATTCACTTAAGGGGTGTTTTTTAACTTATTCTCAGCTGAGATCAGCCTTTTCCCATCTGCCTGTGAGTTATAGAACTTCTATTCACTTGGATTCATACCTATTGTACTTATTCTGCATGTGTGGTTTAGTGACCATGGCTTTATGGGGACTGCATATCCCTTTCAGTCACATACATATGCACCTTCTCCATTGGTCCTTGCATGATTAGAGGGATACCTCACAAGATTTCTTGACCTTCCAGGCATCATTCTACCTGGTCCTTCCAACCATGTGGGCGGGGTGGCTTTCAACATTGGTCCATCCCTTGCTACTTTCTTCCTAATCATTCTACCATCAGACATCTCCCTTCCCTTTACCAGGCTGTTCTACAGGGTTCATCTATCCGTATGTTTACTGGTTATCGGGCATCTTTGTCTTCAACATTTTGCCTTTTTCAGTGCCACATTACTATTCCTGGATGACTTATGTTTCTGTGACATCAAGCATCACCCTTCCTGTCTTTCTAATTGTTATTTTCTCAGTTATAGTCATTCTGCATCACCTTTTACAATTGTTATATTTGGAATTGTTTCAGTCCTTCCTTACCCTTAGACTCACTTGCTCTGTTCCCATGCCTGACTGGCACCTCGATGTCATCCTGCACACTCTTACATGTGTCTCTTTGAGCCATTGGCAACCTGAAACTTCTACAGCTTTCTCTTCAGACATATTACTCTTACTTCTCACTTGTGGTTGCCTTTGTTCAGATCTTTATGTTAGTGACTCATCCTGTATCCTTTCCATCATCCTTGTATTGTTATTTCTCCAGACCAGTCCTTCCTTCCTCGGTCTTCAGCTGCCTGGAGAGGAGACCTCTACCTTTCTCCTCTCTCTCTCTATCCCTTCCTTCTACTTCACTCTTCTTTGATCATTTGGACCTGGACAGTTTTGTGCCATTCGTTGCTACTTAGCTCATACCTCTCACTTTTGGGGTTTTCATCTTCCACTCTACATTCCCTGGGATTCCTCTTCCTCCAGGGATAAATCTTCTTCCTTTATAGGTAGGGTCTACCAAATTCTTTGATTGGTTTATAGTATACACACTGTTTTTAGACAGATGTGTATATTTTCTTTGATTTATAGCATTTGCTTACAGGATCCCACCAGGTGGCTGGTAGTGCCTCCCAGAGTATACCATCTGTCATAGTTTCATATATATATATATATATACCCACTGTTCAGATGGGGTGTTCTACAAGACCACTTGAGGTATCCTCATGGTATATTCTGATATCTCTATACTGTCTGATCCAGACCATACCTATTCCATCGACTATCATGGAAAAAGCCAGCACCAGGAGGTGCTCTGCCTGCTTTCCTGGCTCATGCTTGCTGACTTTTAAAAATAGCTTTATGTAGTCATCTGTTGAACTGTCTCCAGTAAAAGACCTTTCCAGCTGAAACAAGACTGATGGGGATCTGGGCCTTTTCTCTGGGTCTCTCCTTCACAAATTCATTCTCCCTTTTTCTTCAAGTTAAGCAAGAGAGACCCTTACCACTTACCAGTTTTTAGTTGCTGAGGTGGTGGACCATGAAGAACCCTCACTGATTGGTACCTAACCACTGGGGTGCCAATCAGTGGGAAGTGGGGTGGTGGTGACACTGATATTGTAGCACAGGTCACCCTTCATATAATTATACCAGCAATGTGCCAGAAGCACTTCATAGTATACTGTGCCCTCTTGCTGTGGTCTTCATCTGTTCAGTAGAGTTGAGGTGAGCACACACCATACATATGTGCCCTTTTCTTGCAGCCTATGCTGTCTAGTTGAATTAACGTGTGCATGCTTAATATTACATGTATTTCTGTGCCCTCCTCCCATGAGCTGGTATTGGTTCAAGAGTTTCCCAGTAGAGTTGAGACAAGTATGCACTTTTAATCTTTGTGCCCTCCTCCCATAGCCAGTGTCAGTCCAATAAGTGTGATGGTGGAGTTGAGATGTGCACTAGGTAGTCTGAACGTTCCCCAACTATGCTGCACATATTGGCTCTGTTACCTCTTGTGTGCCTTGTCCTTTTTCCACCCATACTCATGATACATGGCATTTGTTTGCCTCTTCCTCCCTTCTACTTTGTACAAAGAGTATACCGTAGAGGAGATGAGATGCTGTCTCCCACAAATGTGCCTCTGTGCACTCTCCATGGGTTTCCTGTAGGTGTTTTTTGAAGGGAGCTCATCTAGGTAAATTTTGCACCGGTCACTCTACAATATCAACGTGGGATTCTAGATTTTTGTGTGAAACAATGTGTATCATTTTGGAAGTTAACATTTTCCTTAGCTGAAAGATGCATTTCTGATACATGTTCATCACCTCACACACTTCCTCCCTGCTTATGGTGCAACTTAGTATTCCTTGCAAAAGCATAGGAGCTAGTGTGAAGGGAGGTTGTGTCACCCTCCTGTTGCTTTTGCTGCATAATAACATCATTATGTAGTAGTGCAATTTACAACAAAATGCATGAGATTAGGTGGGAGTTGCCTAAAGGTTAGTGGGATGCAAATTTCTATGGCAGATGTATGGAGAAGATAGCTCTTTGTAGGAAGAGGTGAGTATCTATCAGAAATACATGTGTTTTATGTTCTCCATGTGACTGCACAATTTTTGATTGTGTTTGATCACCAATTAATATCAGTTTCAAGATCAAGTTTGTACTTGTTTGTTTTTAAGATGTTTCTGTTTCCCGAATTCTACTTTGTTGATATGTATTCAGGTTTCTTATGGCAGTTGATAATTTTCCCACCATAAGTAGACAGCAGTTATAACATTAGGCCCCAGTCTCAGGTTTCACAATGCCTGCTGAGGAAGCACAGACTTTTGCTCATGGAAGTTTGTATCTTACGTTTGGCTGGTGATTTTTCCTTTTAAGATGGGTATTGTTTTTTTCCCAGGAGATCTGTGGTAAATTTTACAGTAGATATACCCATGTTCAATGGGTTTATATGAGCTCATGTGTATGAATCTAATTTCTGCACTTGATAATTTATGTCATTCGTGTCTTCTCTGATCAGTCTTATTTAAGTTTACCATCTAGGTTACTTTAGTTTACAACTTGTGTTTAGTTTGTTTCTTGTGTTAATTTGGTTTAATATTTTACAATTTTTCACTGTTGATGTTATTTAGTTACACATTCTTTTTTTTATATCTTTACTGCTAGTCACATCTAATTGGGGATAAATTTTGAGTCAACCTTTGTTTTTGTTAACTGGGTGCCTTTTTATTCCCATGTTCTTTAGGGTAAGTTTCTTTTTTGTTTCCTTTGTCTTATTGTTTCTTTGAGTTGACTTATACGTTCTATGTTTAAGGGTCGTTTATCTTATCAGTCCCTTTATTTCTAACAGGTACTTACCTCCTCTCACTCACTTCCCATCCTTCCTCCCCACTGATTTTCTGGTGTTTTCAAGTTTGTATATGCCAATTCTCGAAAGTGAGGATTGTGTTGCAAGGGTAGATGGTGCTACAGACTGATACAGATTAAGATTATTTGATTAATTTTAAGTTTTTAATATTCACTTACCATGTTTAAAATTATTTAAAATCATTTTAGTAAGAATTCTTTGACATAAGAAAGCAGGTGTTTTGGAAATTATCAATATTAAACAGGTATTATTCTACATTAAAAAGTTGCTAGTTATTTGACTTTCTGTATATTAGTTTATTTATAACATCCTACTCCTTGTTTGTATATAGTAGATTATAGTTTACACCATTCCATATAAAAAGTTATGAAAACTTCAATCACTCAGCTGCTGAATAACTACTAGTATTTGGCAAAATGATTTAAAATTTGTTAAAACCATGGTGAATTTTTTTATCAAATCTGGATCAGTTGATTTGCATATTTAGACTTAGTGAATTTGTGACAATTAGTGTAGAAGTGAGAGCTAGAAAATTATTTCAAATAAAAGTATCTTAAGAAATAGATATACTGTTAAGAACTTTAATGGAATAATTTCTGTATATTTGTTGCACTTTTGAAAAAATCGTAACTTTTTCGTTACTAATTACACTTATGTCCTAGAAACCTGAAATATAGTATATTTTATGTTATATATAGAAGTTTGATCAACTACAACAAAAATCAATAGAAATGAAGAAAAAGGTGACTGAGAGACAGATGAAAACAGAGCGACGCAGAGCCAGTAAACTAATAAAAAGAGCTTTAAAAGACAAGACCATAAGGGATATTGTGGAGAAAGATGTGGTGAAGTATGTTTTTATTCAGAAGTTACTTACTTTATTATTAAATCTAATTTGTGAATTAACTATTTGATAACTTTATTTTTTCCTATTTTAGGGATGATATGAATAGTAAGAATCAAGCAGCAGACGAATGGAAAGGTTTGAAGCCCTTTCTCACTATAAATGATCATCTAACAGGTCATGTGTCACATGGAAATCTTGGGCCAAAGGTACGTGTAAGAGAAAACACTAAAATACTAAACTTCAGATATTTAACCAGAAGACTGTTTTATGATAAGAAATTTGGTATTATGCAAAGTGAAGAAGGTTCTGATAATGACTGAGGAACATCTGAAAGATCAAGATGACAGAAGGCCATTCAGCCATCCAAAGTCTCCCCAGTTAATCAAATAACCAGTATAAATAAAATATCCAGTGCATCTCTTTGTATCCTTATACACAATAGTTCTGCTGAAAAATTAAGTCTGGATCTGGGTTTCCAAAGCTTAAATACATTATCCCAAATTTCCAAACTATCATTTCAATGATTGAACATATCACTCACAAGCAGATTATCGAACTTTAAACACCTGAATTAATTCACCTCTAATTCTTCTGTGATATAAGGAAAGCAAGTATAAATGCTTATGTTTCTCTTTGTTTAATTTCTTTTTACTGAGGTTACATTCTAGTAGCTTATTTGTGCATTTTGTTTTCCGGCTTATTGACTTCTTTCCTGTAGTAATATAACCAAAACCAGCACCTTATACAGTAAATAATTGTTAGCACTTTATTAGCTTTATTCACTAGGACTAAGTTTTTCAAATTTTGTTAAACATTTCCAAATGTTTTTTATATTATATATGCAGATTCAAAACAGAATTCAGCATAATAGACCTATATTTTCACTGCTTCTTACTTGACCCCTCTTTTTTTAAATTAGGGAACACCTTAGAAATTTTCTGATTCTTTGTAATTTCTCTGATGTGAGGTGACTTCTGAAGAATGACAGTTGAAAACTCCTCCATGCTAAGCTTTTTTTAAAGTTGTAGGATAAATACTACCTGAATCTGATACTTTACTCTCTGGCAATCTTCCTAAACATCTTTTTTCTTAACCTAAAAAATTTTAAAAAATTACCCTTTACATTTAAATACATTTATTAGACTAGAAATCTTCTCTTATGCTTCATCAGTAAAAGTATTAATGAAAAAGTTGAGAACTTCATCAAAGTTTTTCCTTTTTATTAAAGTTCCCATTGGAATGTTTCTAGACTGATATTATACTTGACTGTTGTCTAACAGTTTATGTAAGCTAAGATGCTTCTAAAAGACAGCATCTTTCTTTGAGTTAATGTTTGTATTGGTAAAATTCATTATATTTTATTTTACTATTCATGTTCTATTGTGCTTTTTTTAGTTTATTAATAATTTAATTCAACTGTTTGAATGAAGTATACTCCTTAGTAGTAAATCTGTTCAGTTTCTGCAGCTACATAACATCTATTCAGCTTCATATTTTCTTGTAGTTTCTTCTAAAATGAAGAAAACAGTCCTTAGTAACTCAACACCAAGTTTTCTTACAAAAATCAAGGGTAATGATATTATGCTTTTTAATAGTAAAGTGTGCTTTTGTACATCAACATTTTTAATCTTATCCTCCTCAGCTCTAGAACAGGGTCTATGTAGGTCTTTTGCATGAAATATGTCATTCTGAAAAGTAGCAATCTTCCAAAGTTTTATTAAAAATCATTCTCATATAACTGTGTTATTTGATAGCATAACTATTCTCCCTTTGACATTTCTGTCATTTTGAATGCCCTGATCAAAATTGTTGTAGGAAATCGTAACAACTTAATTTTTTTTTTCAGTGATCTTAACCCAATAATTAAAGACATTTTTGTTTTCATAAGCTTTCAGAGCACTTGTTACAAAGGAAACACCACCTTCCTCTCTGTTAAATGTATTTTTAATGTCCTAATGGAAGACTTTCTAAACTGATGTATTTTTATTTTTAATTTAACCAAGACTTGTAGAATGATATTTAATATATTTAACATGCTAATCACAATCAGTCCTTACTTGTACCAACTTAGTGTGAATTTACTCATATAACAAGACTGTGCTTGCCATCATTTACTCTTTAAGGATAATTTAATTGCTCTAAGCTTTGCAAAATCCAAGAAATATTCTTTATCCATCAAATGTAGCTTAAAAGATCCTTAATAGTCACTTAATAAATGCTCTATTTACCACCATTTTTAAGAAAGTTTACCATACAGACACCTCTACCTTTAAACCTATCTCACTGGTCTCACCACTTTATATATCCATTACAACATATTTACAGTAATGGCTCCTATCATTCTTTTACCATTATCAAACCTTCTTTGACAATGTGACTAAAAAAGAACTGACAGAAGTACTCTGTTATTTCTAGCCATAAAGCTCAATCTTAGTCTTTCTTAGTAACTCCACAGATTTTCCTTTATCATTATCATTTGCTTTGATATGTATCACAAAAAAGAGCATTTTCTTTGGTTTCTGCCATCAGACTATTTGTTCTTTCTACAGTATCCTGAATTTTAACATCTGATAAGCTATATCTTTTATGTGCTTTACCACATCCAACCAATCAGAGAGCACTGAAAATCCCCGCAGTATAAACATCAGAATTTTTCCATCCTCACTCACATCAACAGATGTAGACTCAAATCTGTTTGATACAGTTACACATTATTATCTGCACCTTCTGTTGCATGCCACAGTGAACTACAGTTTCCTTCTCTTCCCTCACAATCTCATAATAATCTTTAAGACTTCTGTCTCCTTACATAAGTCAGTACATTCCTTGACTAATGTGTTTCTCTCACTCTGATCTTCAAAAAGTCTTCCCAGTGCAAATTCACTCCTTTTCATCAAAAAACATACTCATGAAAACTATAGCTTTACCTACTGTTTTTAAAAATATCCCTTTCTGTACATTTTTCCAGAAACTATACCATTTACTCCATTGGTAATAAAAAGCTCAAAAATTAACTCTTTAAAAAAACATTAAACCATACTATATAATTCAAAAGAAAAAAATCAAATAACAACATGGCTATTTGGTTTTGATATACAGTCATTTAATCACCACTAATAACCTAAAATACTTTAGGCATGTGGATAACATGACATACCTCTTATTATTCAGCAGGCTAACTAGCTATTTATTTACTTTTGAATTTCTTTTCATCACCAAAACATGAATTTCAGTGAAGAAGAGATGAGATTGAAGCCTAATCTGTTCTCTGATTTACTACTTCTACTGCTGTAGTCTAAAATTCACATTTTGTTAATGATAGGAAACTCACAAATAAACATAGTTTTTAATTAGAAAAAAATTCGTAATAAATAAATTACGAACTTTAAAACTTGAAAGATAAGATGATAAGAGATGATCACTAAACATAGGATATTTTCTTAAATATTAGTATCTGAAAAAGATAAAACTAGAGAATAAAAAAAAAGTAAACTAATTTATAGATAAATAAAATTAAGGCTATTCATAATGGTAAAGTTTGTGATTTCATGATTAAATTAGTCTATGATATGTATATGATATAAGATTTTTATATTGCATCATAATTTTTATTTACTTCTTTTGACCTCCCTAGTTACTTTTAACCATTAGTTTTTAACAAAAAATAGTTAAAACTGACAATGAACAATTATTGCACATTGATATAAAATATAAATCAATATAGTTAAAATTGCACATTGACATAAAGTACACATTAATATAAGATGGAGTTTTTCCATAACATTAAAAGTATCCAAGTAGAATTAAAGAAAATATCTGATTGTAGATTAAATTTTGTCTCTGAGAATAATTGTTTTAAGCAGACAACTAATAAATCTACATTCAATTTTAAGTAAGAAAAAATAAATTGAAAAACGATAATTTTCCATGTAAGAAAGCTGTATCTGTAAAAATTTTACATGCAGTATGATAAGTGTATTTTTGGACCAACTGCAGGAGATATTATTTTACATTAATTCTAAATTTACCTGTTATTCAAGTAAAATTGTTTGTTAGTTATTATTGTATAAAATGTGGAAGAAACGAAATATGTATGTTTATGAATAAATTTACATAAATATGAATCCGTTATTGATAAGCAGACATTTTTTATAATTGCGTAGTAAATAAATACAAACATTTACAAAAAAACTTTTTTCCCTTTTTTTCTTTCACTTTTGTTTTTGTGTGAAATAACAAAAGACAATAACTTGTGAAAACTATTTTATTTATTTGTTTAAAACTTTATTAAATTGTATGGAATATGCATTTATATAATAGAGGGCATCTCAAATAAAGGTTAGAATTTCAGGAATTACTTAATTTGTATAGCCCATTGTGCAGCTTTGTGCTTAACAACAAAGAAATGAAACCAATAAATAAAAATAATGATCCATGCAAGTTTTGTGTTTTAACAATTGTTTTAAAGTGAATCCATCTTGATTTATGTGTGTGTGTGTGTGTGTGTGTGTATAAACACAATGCCCCCTTTTGGCTCAGCAATAAGTCTGAGTGTTAATGATGCTTTTATACCCATGGTGGGTACAGCACAGATAGTTTATTGTATACCTTTCTGGTGAACAACAAACAAAATATACACATGAAAAAAACAGTCTAGTTACTCTTTCAAAGATGATACTATAGATAATGTAAAATAGGTTTTACACATATACATGCACACATACATTTTCGGTAAAGTTGTTTGAATAGTTTTGTAGTATAAGAGTTATTTAACCTGAAGTTGTATTCTTTCACATCAGAAATAGTTTCTACATCTGCAGTAACTTGATATGTTAGTTGAAACTTCATGTGTAGAAACTATTTTTTATGTAAAAAGACAATTTCAGGCACAAGAGAGTATACTAAAAACATTTATATATATGTGCATATAAATTATAAATATATAGAAGTGTATTTATGTATAAAAACTTAATTTTTCCCAATCAATTACTGAGTAATTTAGACTGTGAATTTTAGGGTTCATGGTTTATGTCTCTGTTATAAATGGGTCATGGCCATAGGTATGTTATAAGAGTGATGGTCAAAACCCATTGTTTGATTTGAGTTGGTAGTGGGTACTGTTAACTAGCTGCCTTCTCTCTAGCCTGTAAAATAGTTCTTGTGTAGCTTTATCTAAATATTAAAAACAAAAGAGTACAGAGAAGAGCTACATTATTTAATTATACAAAACAAACAGTGTGCTGGAAAGTTACAGTAATGATATATAACATAAAAATTTTGATTTGGCTTAAGCACTTGTTGCTGAAGCATAGAAAAACCACAAGTGAATTACTTCAGTTATTCAAAATTATTAGTGTTTAGATAATCTTTGAATAAGAAGTCCCTTTTTATTCCTGGAGAGTACATGTAAGTTTAGTGTGAATAGTGACTTGAACATTAGAGCTAAATAATATAAGCTTTAGACATCTTGTTGTCTGATGATGTTAGGTGTACTGAGGGCTTTGTTTGGTTAATCAGATTTGGTATCAAGATGCAAGATGAGGTGGTGTTGGTTTTTGGAGATAATAGATGAGTTTCATTGGCTAAAGTGGCTTCTGTCACCCTGCTCATTCTCATAAGGATGAAAAATTACAATAGAGCATTCAAGCCATTAAAGTTACCAAATTTAAAGTTTTGTCCACATGTAACTGTTTTACAAAAATGTATTAAAACTATTTTTAATCCCATAATAAAATTAACAAGTATCTGAAAATGTTCATGTTTTATCAGCTTTGAATTTTATGTGTATATGAAGTTAAACAAGAAAATCTGGAAAGGTTTGTTTAACATCATCTATACATGAGAGAGGCTATGTTTAAATTATGTTTTTTTGATTATCTTTTAGACAGAAATTGAGCACCTGGTTGACAAAGCTATTAGTGAAGGTGATTTAAATAAAGCAGAGATGTTGAGTGATCACCTAGCCAATAGACAGGTAATTATGCTTGAAATTCTAATAAAATCATATAGATTACTAAATAACTTTGAATAGGTAATAATGATTTTGGTTACTTATGTTAGACACATTATAACCTTAATTTCTTATCTCATGTAGGCAATTTATATGAGGAATGTCTTGTTGTATGTGATAGCAGATAAAAGCTGAGGATATTAAACAAATCTTAATGAGAAATTCTTAAAGCTTTAAAATTATTGGAAGAACATACTAGATTACAAGCCATAGCAGTCTGGAGAATATGAAATAACTGTCATAAACAATGATTGAAACTAGCTATATTGTTGAATGCACTTGTTTTAATATAAACCAATTATTTGTGCAATAATTAATGAATTATACATTATATTCACTAGGAGTGCATGTTAAACTGGTTTATTATGGCCCATACCCAAGAGGTCTGCATATCATGGTACATTTCTTATGAACTGGTTTTTGACAGTGATTATTTCAATGTACAGTTTTCAAATTTTTCCACAACATTTTATTAAATTTTGAAAATTATTTCATGGTTTTTTGTACAGTTTCTTTTATAAATTTGGCTATTGATAACTATAACATTGTATTTAAAACTACAAACACCCACCATCACTAATGTAAGTGACTTAATTGCATAGGAATTAGAGTATGACTCAGTAGACAAAATGACCTTGGTAAGCAAAGGATTTGTAGAATATATTGCAAAATAGTTACAAATATTCCAATATATTGCAATGTGAAATTTCTTTCAGTGCTCACTCATAATGTTTACAACATATAATTCTAAATTTTCAGACCTGTACTAGTGTATAACGACCTTTTGCAAGCTCTTTATCTCTGATCTTGATCTGAAGTTAAAATTAATACCTTGTACCAAATGATATATATCTCAATTTCCAGACATATCAATAAAGTTCACTGATTATTTAGCTTTTATTGACTCAATACATTCAGCTTTCTTTTTTAAGTAAATGATGTCTTTCCCCTTACAAAATTATTTGAAAGGAAACAGAGCAACAAATAAATTTGAATAACCAATGCTGAAGTAACTGTGATGAATTGCAACTGATCCCACTCTTTGTTGGATTTATTGAAGGGACTTTGGGTAGTATTTCTGGAAAAGTTTGACTGTATTAAGCAATCTGATATGTTAACAAATTTATGCACAATAAAATTTTACTGCAAATCTGTCAGCATCCAATATTATTAAACTTTGTGTATAAACATTAATGACAGATTAAACCTGGAATAAGGTATTGATGATAAAGTGTTATATATATGTAATCTATCAGCATCCATGATTATTAAACTTTATATATAAACATTTAATGATAGAGTACACATGGAATGAGGTGTAAATTATAGTGTTATATATACACCTGGAAAAAAGTTAAGCACCCCCGTGTTTTTTCAAGTGATTCAGATTCAACGTTCTTGTGACTGATTATAAATTACCATTCAATCTAAACGTGTTTATCAAATGAAATTATGCATTATTGGGCACAAGAAAACAAGATTATCACCGTAAAATAACAA